ACACTAGAATTGCCACAAAAAGGCACACATTTTGATGACTGGAATGTAAACAAGTGAGAAGTTGTGATAGTACGACATTGGGATAAGAGGGTAAAGGGTAGATAGATTGGCCAGGGCAGAAAGAGGAGTGAAAGTATAACCGTTTTTGGGAGAACGTTTGTCGATGATTTCACTTGTCTGTTTGACGAGTTTGCAGCTTGATGCGGCGAATGGCAAGACTCACTGATGATGCCAACTATGATGCCGGCAAAACGTTTGAGAATGTATCAAGTCCACTGTCAGATGCTGGGATTCTTTACAGCTACTATGGCGGACGATTTCGGACTAGGTACGTTCTACATGGTCTATCTGACCACAAGACCAAGTTGCGACAACATGGTCAGCGCATTTCTAAGAAAATCTTTTGCCTAGTTTGGTGAAATTGAATAACCTATTTATGTTATTCCATTATGCGACAAATACTATCAGTCCCTTCATCTTAACTAACCTAAGCGGATTTGTGTTGTTATCTTATCATTTAATTTTCATGTCGTTCTCTACTCATATCAACTTAAAAATGAGCTTAGTGCTTTTTTATCTTGTCGATCCTTTATATCATTAACTTAATCAGATAATCCAAATAAAGGTTGGAGTTTTAAAATCTATGATTATTCGTAGCATAAGACTAGCCGATACAGACCATTGTGACAATGAACTGAATCAGCTTAAAATAATTTTCTTTGAAAATAACTATCCCCTTGGCTTGATTGAAAATTCCATTAGATTAATAAAGAATAGCTTTTTGAATAGTGAATATGTAAGGAGAGATAAGGAGACCTTTTCTCATGTTTCGTCTTTACCCTCTTGCGTTCTCTCTAAAAGGATAGGTGAGCAAGTAACGAAGTGGGTAATACAAACTGTGTTCAGAGAAACTATGACACTTTCTTCAGTCATGCATACTTTTAGAGAGAAAGTTGACCCATTATCCAGATCGGGTTGCTACAAAATAATGTGTTCATGTAATCGCTTTTATGTTGAAGAGATTTGTCCCATTCGACAAAGAGTAGCTGAATATAAAAGCGCCTGCAAAGGTCGTTGGGTTCAAAAATCGTAGCTTGCTGAGGACAGGACAGAAACTGGACATTAGATTGAATGGTCTCAAACTTGTCGTTTTGCTGATTATTGTATGCTTGCTGCTAAACGTAAAATTAGAGAAGCCATAGAGATAAACCTAATAGGAAATACCTTGAATGTAAGGAATACCGGCAAAAAGATAAGTAAAAACTATTCGTGCTTAATTGATAGATTGAAGGATAGAGGGAGTTGAGCCGCCTGCAAAAAGGAGGCGACGCAAGTAGTCTTTTCTTATTTTGGTTCTAATGATAGTCAATTCTCTGCACTTCTAGCTCACTTTTTCTCTCTCGCATTGAGACCAAAAACAAAAATAGACTTATCAACAAAACTAGACGTGTGTCCGACCTTGTGAAATCCGAGTGATGATTATACCTTAAATGTAGAAACGGGGAGTAGGGGTCATCAAACCTTGATGGCCAAAAAGAGACGTTACTTTTTGCTGTCCTAATTATCTTGAGCCATCACTTTGGGTTTCGAGCAAAGCGAATGCAAACAGGAACATACAAATACAGAGACAAATACACTCACATGCATCGAAGTTGACATATGACCTAAACTAACCAAATCACCTTATACTTGATCAGAGGCCATATATAGAGTATATAAACCATTTTTTAGGGATTCGTCGGTTAGTTTTCTTGACTCGTTAGCCCGAATGTTATTGTGACGATGTTACCTCGCTCTGATGATGTCCATCATATGACGGACAAAAGCTTAGCACCTTTTCACCGGAACTGAAGGAGATTGCCTCGAAAACAGCTTTAGCATGAATCTTCTAGTAAAGCCAATCGACATCTGGTCAAGAGGAATCCGCCGTCGTCTTCTGGTGAAACCGACCTTCGAATCTCGTCACGCAACACTTTCACTCGAAATGGAAGTAAGCTCTTAATTATGAAACAATAGATTCCTCGAAACCCAACTTTTATTCGCATATAAGAAAGCATCCTGAAATTATTGAAATATGCTCATCGGATTCGTCACTTGAACAACCTTAATAGACGTTCAATCATCAATGGAAATCAATATATATATTAATGTTTTGCATAAACCATTTTACCTTATTTCAGCCACATAGTAGTGTGTTGGTTGATCATAGTTCCTGTAAGATGGCATAACCACAGCATTTATAAAATATTCTTCATGGAACTCAAATGGTTCCGAAGTGATTATTGGAAATCGGCGGTGATCCAAGTGGCGCTGAGAGGCCACATTCGATAGCATGTCATTAGACGCAGCAAAAGCGTAGGTTTGCAAGCTGGGCAACTGGCACGAGGCAGACATCAAAAGAGTAGGTAGGGTTGATAAGGTGAATTCTGAAGAAAGACCGACAAGTGACTTTGACGGTG